CCCCCGTCATCTGCTCCTGTGTGCTCTGATCAGATATGTCCCTCTCCCAGAGCTGCGGATTCAGTGCCTGGATGGAACTTTCATACAGCAAATCGCTCTGAGTTAGTGCACCCAGTAGCATCTCCTGGGAAGGTTCTCTGTGGTCACAGTGAATTTTTTTTTCTTTTCGTAAAAGCAGTTTTGTTCAAACCTTCTTTTTTGTGATGGCTGGTTTAAGAAAACAGCATTCGGCTGTGAAATTTTGCTTCCTGCTCAGGAAAAAACGCCACAGAAACTGTTGTGATGTTAAACACAGCTCACAAGCACAGCACTATGAGAAAAACTCAAGTGTCCAAGTGGTTTTCTCACTTCAAAAAGGGTGAAACGTCCATTGATGATAAACCTCATTCTGGACGTCCGTCAACTTCCTGAATTAATAGAAATGTCAATCCGTAGTGCATTTGGAGTACATTCCACCAGGTCAACCTGTTAATCAAGCTTTCTATTTAGAGGTTCTGAAAAGATTGTGCAACAGTGTGTGACCAAAAAGCATGATTTGAGGCAGATAGGGCACTGGTTTTGCCACCACAACAATACACCTGCTCACACAGCCATCTCAATGCCCCAGTTTTTGGCAAAAAACAGCATGCCTCTCTTACCATGCACCTTACTCACCTGACCCTCACTCCGTGAAACTTCTTTGTGTTTCCTCAAATAAAGAGGGATATGAAAGGACAGAGATTTGACAAATTAGAAGAGGTGAAGCAAAAAACGAGGGAGCTGCTGTCAGCCCTCCAAACAGATGAGTTTGAAAAAAATGCTTCCAAGAATGAAATCGCAGATTTGACAAATGTATTCAGTGTAATGGAGAGTACTTTGAGGATGATAAGGTTGTTTTGTAAAAAACAAAAAAATTAAATACATAGCTTTGGGGGGGAAAATCCAGGTTTGGGGGGGTACCCCCTTGTGTTGGATTGTGTGAGTTATGTGAGAAAAAAGAAATAATCGTTAAATAAATAAATAAGGGTTCCCGAGGGTTTGGGTTGGGGAGAGAGGGGCTAAAAAGGAGCTGACATTAAGCAGTTCAAGAAGAAATAAAATGTTTTGAAACTGATTGCGGTAGCTGTTGTCCAACACTGCTTGATGTGATTGAACTATGGAATGTTATATCTGTTAAGAACTCCCAACAAAATTATTAAAACTAAATAAGTGAAAGAAAAGACCCTAAGTGAGGGTGACTGACAGAAAGGCTGTGAGCAGGGGTTTATTCTCTCCCACATTCCATTCTCATGGCTATTTTCATATCCCAGAACACAAGGATGAGAAGATCAAGGCGCTGAAGTCCATTTCATTGAACAGCCGTGGAGCTCAGTCTTTGAATGCGTTGGTCAGTATTCCCATGTTATTCTCTTGCTCCAGCATTACCATGGTTCCCTGTAACTTTCAGGATAGAAAATTCTAGAATAAGGACAAAATTCTACAATAAGGACAAATCTGTCCTCTACCCCAGCGGAGCATTAGCCATAACTGAAGACATTTTTGTTTGTCAACACTGGATTATCTGTGGGTGAAAATCTAGTCAACATCTTACAATGTAAGGATTATCCAGTCCCAAAACCAATAGCCTTGAAATTAAGAAACCCAAGAATTGGGTTAAAAATCCTCAGCTGTCATTAAAAGACCTGCATTAAATCCCTATAGCGTCACCCCCACCCCCAACTCTACCTCTCATCCCCTATTTTTTTCCCACAACTCTTTGTTAGCTCCAGAGACCTCATCCTCTAAACCTTCATAGTCTCATAAATAAAATACAGCAAATGATAGAACCTTCACAGGGTGTGTGTGATAAGGGAGAAACCACATATTAAGTTGACAGTATAGACCTTGTTGTTAGCTACCATCTAATCAGCTCTAGACTCATGGAAAATTCCATGCCCCCAAATTGGGACTGTTGTGGTCCATAGCAGCACCTTCTGGGCTCACACAACCCCACTCACCTGTCTTCCCACTTCCTTAAGGTTCAATGAGTTTCTACCTTTTAACTTTATTTCCTTTAAAGGAAAATGTATGGGACCATGGAACCATCGAGAACATTGCAAAAAGAGCAACCCAATTACTTCAGGAAGTGGTATTGATCATACAAAAGGAGATTTTTGAGTCTCCAGGAAAGTATGAAGATCCTGAGCGTGGTATAGGTAAGAAACTTAAATGGCCCCCATGAAAGTATCTGGGTCCTGGCACAGGAGGGGCTATGGATAATAAGGAAATATTTTATTTATGTTTTTCTTTTTCTTTTTTTTTTGAATACTTTCATTTGGGGGCCCTTAGATCTCTTATCACAGTTCATACATTCATCCAATGTATCAAGCACATTTGCACATATGCCACCATCATCATTTTCAAAGCATTGTCTTCCCACTATATCCCCTGATATCAGCTACCCATTTTTTCCACCTCCCTCTCCCTCCCACCCTCCTTCACAAACCCTTGATAAATTACAGATTATTATTCCCATATCTTACATTGTCCTCTGTCACCCCTCACCCACTTTTCTGTTATTCGTTCCCCTGGGAGGGGGTTCTATATTGATCCTTGTGATTGATTACCCGTTTTTCCCCCCACCCTCCCCTGGTCTTCCTGGTATCTCTACTCTCCTTGTTGGCCCTGAGGGGTTTATCTATCCTGGATTCCCTGTGTTTGGGGCTCTTATCTGTAGCAGTGTGTATGCTCTGGTCTAATCCGATTTTTAAGGTAGAATTGATGTCATGATAGTGGGCTGAAGGAAGCACCAAAGAACTAGAGGAAAGTTGTGTGTTTCATCAGTGCTATACTACACCCTGACTGGTTCATCTCTTCCCTGTGACCCCTCTGTGAGGGGATGTCCAATTGTCTACAGATGGGCATTGGGTCTCCATTTCATACCCCACCCCACCCCACCCCCTGATTACTTTGGGCATGGCTTTGTTCTGGGTCTTAGATGTCTCATACCTGATCCCATCGACACCTCATGATCACACAAGCTGGTGTGCTTCTTCAATGTGGGCTTTGTTGCTTCTGAGCTAGATGGCTAGTTGTTTATTTTCAAACCTTAAGACCCCAGATGCTGTATCTTTTGATATCTGGTCACCATCAGCTTTCTTCACCACATTTGCTAATCGTGTCAGAAAGGTGAGTATCACAGAATGCCAGATTGTTAGAACAAAGTGTTCTTGTGTTGAAGGAGTACTTGAGTCGAGGCCCAATGTCCATTTGCAAATTTAATTCTTAACGTATAGATATGAGTACATAGTTCTATTCCTCTCTCGTTATATATGTACATGCCTGTATTTAGGCCTCTATAAATGTCCTTTGCCTCCTGGTTCTTTCCTCTATTTCCTTTTACTTTCTTCTTGTCCCACCATCATGTTTGGCCTTCATTCAGGTTTAGTAATTCCTCACTGCTACATTGCCCTTGATTAAGCCCCTCTAGGCATCCTACGCCCTTCTTTCCATTGATTATAGTTCACTTGTTGTTCCCTTGTCCCTGGGTTGATTACCCTAAGATTCAATCATTATAGCTTTTCTTGCTTAATATTGTTTTTCTATTATGCTTCAAGTGAAAGTTTATAGAAAAAGAAAGTCATTCAATAATTTGTACCAATACTGTTCCATGACATTGGGCACATTCCCCATGATGCATCAGCACTGTCTCCATTTCTGCCCTCAGTTCTTCATTTCTTTCCCCATCTAGATTTTCTGTCTATTCCTGCCTTCTCATGTTCGCTTTGGGGCAAATTCTGTCCTTTTGATTGAGTATGATTCACTGTTCCAAGGAACACTTTCCTCTCAGAACTTTCTGGTTATTTACTTGCTTGGGTAAACAGGAATGGCTTCTCTCTGGGAATGCCTTCTGTTCCAGGTCAGAAGGGTGGCTCAGGGCCATTATCTCAGGGGTTCCTCTAGTCTCTAGCAGACCAGTAAGCCTGGTCTTTTTTGTGAATTTGATTTTGTTCTACAATTTCTCTCTTGCTCTGTCTGGGACCCACTGCTGTGATCCTTGTCAGAGCAGTTGGTAGTGGTAGCCAGGCACCATCTAGTTCTTCTGGTCTTGGGGTCATGGGACCCATTCATCCTTTGGACTGGTTGCTCTCTTGGGTCTTGGGTTTTCCTGGCTCTCCTTGGCTTTGGACAGGTAAAGACCAAGAGCTGTGTCTTAAATGACCACTAATAAGCTTTCAAGAGCCCAGATGCTACTTAACAAAATAGTATACAGAACAATACTTTTATGAAATATGTTGTGCCAATTAAAATAGATACCCACCCCCATTATATGGTCCTTCACTTTCAAGTCAGCGAACTTTATCCTGTGAGGTGTTTTGTTAAGTCTAAGAAATTTCTATGACTGTACCCCTTATGTGCACTATTGTTGATATTGAGCTAAATGTGACACCTACAATTCTGTATATAGAAATATCCACTACCAAACCTATTCTACAGGTGGGTGGGCTCCTTTATTGGTGCAGGATTGTCTAGGTTATTAAAAACCCCATTTCCATTAAGTCAATTCCAACTCACAGCAACGCTGTACAGTAGCCCCATCTAGAGACGTTATGTAGGGTTTCTGAGGCTATATAAATCTTTATGGGAGCAGACAGTCTCATCTCCCTCATCTTTCTCCACAGAGAAATTAGTGGGTTTGAACCACTGACTTTGCAATTAGCAGTCCAAGACTTGCCCAACTGGGTGCCAATCAATGACCACAGTGTCCTGTTACTCTTATGTTCCTCTCAGTGACTTCCTATGCCTTAGTCTGATGTTGTTGACTTGCGATATCGTGTATTACCTGCCCTTCAACGTGATTAACACTTAACTTATCTAGTTGGGTGACTAAACAAAATATTGCAGGTTCAAACTTCCCAGCAGCTATGCAGGAGAAAGATGAGGCCACCCCTAGAACACGTGCTGTCTCCAAAATCCAATTTAGGGTCTACTGTGAGTCAGAAACTGATCAAACATGCAATCAAGATACATTGATAATTATCGGCGATTGGAATGCAAAAGTTGGAAAGGACGAGGCATGAACAGTACTCTTTTGATGATAAGAAATGCAGTCTTGGTGATAGAAACGAAGCCATAGAAAGCATGATCGAATTTTGCAAGATCAATAACATCTTCATAGCAAATATCTTTTTTCAAAAACACAACTGGCAACTGTGCATGTGGACATATCTCGATGGAATCGACAGCAATCAAATGGACTATATCTATGCCACGAGATAATGGAGAATCTCAGTGTCAGCAGCTAAAATGAGGCCAATTGTGGAAGAAACCATCAATTGCTCATATGTAAGTTCAGGATGAAGGCGACAAAATTAAACCAATGTGTTGTTGGTATTAGGTGCCATCAAGTCAGTCGAACTCATGGCAACCCCATGCACAAGACAACTAAATACTGCCCGGTCCTGCACTGTCCTCACACTTGTTCCTATGTCTGAGCCCATTGATGCAGCCACTGGGCCCAGCCACCTTGTTGAGGGCCTTCCTCTTTTTTCGCCACCCTTTCACTTTACAGAAAAATGATGTCCTTCTCCAGGGACTGGTCTCTCCTGAAAATATGTCCAAATTATGTAAGCCGGAGTCTTTCCATCCTTGCCTCTAAGGCAAGATTGGTTTGTCCTTTTATCAGTCCATGGTACTTTCAATATTCTTCTCCAGCACCCACAATTCAAATGCATCCTTTCTTCTACGCTCTTCCTTATTCAATGCCCAACGTTCATAAGCACATGAATGGTTAAGGGCATAGAGAATACCATGGCTTAGGTCAGGCACCCCTTAGTCCTCAAAGTAATATCTTTGCTCTTCAACACTCTAAAGAGGTCCTGTGCAGCAGACATGCCTAATGCAATGTGGTTTTTTGATCTCTTAACTGTTGCTACCATGAGCATTGATTGTGGATCCAAGACAAAATCCTGAACAACCTCAAACTTTTCTCCCCTTATTATGATGTGATAAGGTTTTTTTGTCAAGTTGTGAAGTTTTTGCTCTTCCTCACATTAAGTTGTAATCCACACTGAAGGCTACAATCATCGATCTTCATCAACAAGGGTGTCAATTCCGCCTCACTTTCAGCAAGCAAGG